ATTAATTTATATAGATTATTTAATTATTAATATATAAAAAAAAATCCATTAAGAAAGAAATTATTCATATCGAAGCCCTGGAAGAATGTTTGTTTCCATGACATTATGTGTTGTGAGAGGAAGTATCATTTACAGGTGCATAGACGACTGTGTTATATTATTCGATACCAATACCGTAATGTAAATTTGCAGTATCACACAGACAATTTAACATATTTACAGAATTAAAATTTTATTAAGTAATAAAAATTTATGTGTATAAAATTGTTAAAGAATAGATATAAAAATGTGATTATTTTAATTTATAATTTACGTTAGATATATTTTATTTAAACGAAATTAAATTAAACATAAGTAGGAAATCGTAAAATAATAGCACGATAAAGTATTTATCTTTGTATAATTCATAGCGAAAAGAGAGAATTACAATTTCATTTATAACTAAAAAATAGTTTGGATGTAAAGACGAAGATTTAAAGGATTGTAAGAGAAAAGATTTATCCTTTCCGTGGATTTGTTTTGAAGCCCAAGCGATCAATATATAAAAGCTGATTTTCAGAATTTCAACTGCTAATGTCTGTTAGTGTAGAATAATTCTAGCAATAATCATTAGTTATTCCTGTCACGTTCTTCTGATGTTTCTGTATAATGTAGACAAGAACCTACAGTATGTACACCGCATAACTTGATGGCAGCTGTTTAATATGGCTAATTGAAAAGAATACAGGGTATAAAGTTTAATAACCGAGCTCCACTCATAATTTACTACTATTGATAAATCATTAATTTTATTTTGCTTACCACTCATTATTCCCTTTCCCAAAACACACAAAAATATGTAAAAAAATTATATATATAAAATAATTTTTAATTATGTTTACTCACTAAAATACTATAAATCATCGAAATTAATTATTTTAGAGAATACTAGAGAGGTTTATTTTTGCCGAAACGATATATTATGAAGAAATTTTACATTTTTAGTAGATTTTTTTTTGAAAAATTTTAATTACATAATTTAAAAATTATTACCATATTTTGTAAGGAGAGCGTTAAATATTTTATTTAATCTTTAGTTTAGTTTCTTAAAAAGAAGATTTAATTTTGTTTAGCAGAATTTATTTTGAAATCTTAACTCGACCATTGCTAATGACAACCTTGTATATAGAGGTAACTGCCTCTGACAGGAAAAGAATAGCAAAGGAGACATTTTAGTAATGAACGTTTGAGGTCAAGTTAGATTCACATCATTTTAGAAATGAGAATTTACGCTTTCTCTTCATTAACAATACAGCGTAGGTGTATAAAATTACTTGGTTGATTTTTATAATAAAAATTTCACTCACCTTCACACTGGACTATTGATAGGACACATAAAATTCCTAGCATAAGGAAGACAACTCCTCTGGCCAAGTACGCGGGGAACATCCTGAGTTCTAGCTGTGAGGAGTTCGGCGCCATCAACACTGCTGCTAAAACGATTCACACACACACACACCAGTCAACACGGTGTTGGCATGACGTAAATGCACCACGCGTAATCTTACGCGTGACACTCACCATATACGCGCACTTAAGTAACGATTCTCGGGTATCACCTTATGGTTCGGGGAGGTTGTTTAGATATTTAGCCTCTTCCAACCGGCGACTAGTGAAACCTCCTCCTGCAGGCAGGTTTGGAGGACTGTGCGACCTCTGGTGGCGTAATTTGGAGTTATAGGACACGTGATCGTGTTTGGACTCCTGCCAAATGGAAGCTTCACTGCACGGCACTGGTCGAAATGAGGTGATGGGTCAACCTAAGTCCATAGGGCACACCTGTAAGATACAGAAACTTGATTTATTTAAGGTAGTATGTCAGGATATACGATTTTCCTGTAAGATAAGTAAGTAAAGATGTATTTGAGAGTATTATTATTACATCTCCGTATCGCAATAGACTAATCCCTACAGAATCGTAGAAAAAATTCGTGCTATAATTGTTAAATTTTTTACGATACAAAATTAATATCTAGAAAATTTTTTTTATCTGATATAAGCTCTTATTATCAGAAAAAATCCTTTATTATTATTATTATTATTATTATATGTATCAGAAGCGATATGTTTTATTTTAAAAATAAATCTATAGAAAATTATATAAAACAATGGATTTATTAAAATTATTTATTTAATAAAAAATTTTATGAAATAAAATTAAATTAGCTTATTTACAAAGAGATAAACAGCAATCCAGTTTAATTCTTTTTTTCCTCTTTGTTTTCGATTCTAAATTGAAACCTAAACCACAATCGTCATAGTCTTCTTGTCTAGCAAGAAAGAAATCTAGAACTTAACCGTATTAATGATTTCTAAAAATAGCTTTCTTATGTCTTAGACAAAATGAAATCGGAACTATTTGTCCAAATTTACAGCAAGTTCGTAAAAACCTATTCCCTGATGGGTAATTACTCAAGATAGAAAAAAAAAGAAAGAAGAGAGTGACTATAGACCATTGTGTCCGATGATAACTACCGTCACAAAAGGGAGAAGAGTCATAGATTACGCACAAACTGGAAGTTAGATTCACCTTTTGCTATCTAGTGGGCGATTTGATTTCCTCCTTCATCAATTAGCAAGAAGTATCATCATTTTTTCATGTCTTGGGATACAAATAAAGTTAAATAGATCTCATTAGAATTATTAGGGCACATTATGCAGTTTTATTGTTTTAAAATTCTAGCAGAATTAAAAGAAAAATTAGTTTACTCGATAAACTTTGCATATATTGCTCAATGTTTACTAGATATCATCAAAGATACTCGTCTAGAATATTTTATCACGTAGTTTTCTTAGTTTATATTTGCCAATTATTCAAAATATCTATATTAATTATTCAGTTTAAGATATAATCATCAATAATTCTTGTAAATGTATTCCTTAATAATTTTCCTAGTCTATTCACTAAAATAATTCATCTACTTAATCTTTTAAATAATTGTTTGCATGACTTAAATATAATATAACTTTATAAGCAATATTCTGGCCTGGTCATTCAACTAAACTCGTACTAAATTTTATTCTTAGTGTATATAAAATAAAAAGAAAAAAATACATATATTGAATATAATAAAATAAATAATAAATTTTATTGTGGATTTTCGATTAAATATTCAATTTATGCTACAAAATACAGTAAAAGAATTGTTTTTTTCTGGACATTTTTTATAGAAAACTATCAATTAAAATAGCATATATAAAACTTATATTAATAATTCAAGTTTGTTTTTAGAAGCTGCACTTTCAAACTTAGAACAATTTCAGAATTTCATACCCTCATCTTATATTCTGCTTTATTACTTTCCAATACTCATTCACTTGATTTCTTGAAAAGGAAAAAAAAGAATAAAAAAATAAAAGGAAAAAAAATTCCTTCTACAGTTTCTTTTCATATTTGATGCATAAAATTCATCACTTTCTAGAAACTTTGTTATTACTAAAACTTAAATATAAAAAAAACTATTTACAATAAAGAATATTGAAAATATTCAATCTTGAATTGTAAACAGATATCTTAAAATATATATTATTTACAAACAGAACAATATGCTTATATATTGAAATAAAATGAATATAGATAAATAATTTTCTATACAGAATATAATATATATATATATTAGTTTATAATTTAAAAAATAATACATTAATTTTTATATTAAAGTAAAAATTTGCCAGGAGGATGTAGAAAATATCTATAAATCCATTAGAAATTGTATGATACAATTTCGTGTATTTGTTAATAATGAGCGAAGTTATGAGTTATTTTCGATTAGAATATTTAAATTAATTTATAGAAATCGGATATTCATTACTTATTTTTATTAAAATATGACCATGAGGCATAAAAGTATCATAAAACATTTTTATAATTAATTATTGTGGTAAATAATGTTTACTAATTAAAAGTACATTGAATAAAATATAATTAAATGCTATTACTTTGATTATTTTCAGATTCATTTCGTAAATAAACATGTTAAAAAATCGATTGATACAGTTTATTTTACTTTATTTATTTCAAAAATTTAATTATTTCTGAATTTATAATTTTAATATTTTTTATCTGTAAATTTTAAATTAATATTTTTTATTTAAAAAATAATACATTTACTTATTATTATATTTTTTTATTATAGTGAGAAAATGAAATAAAATTTTTATTTTATTTTTTTATGAGTAAATATATATAAAATCAGAGGTAATAAAATATATTATATAGAATTTGTTTTTTTATAAGTATATTAAAACAAACAGACATACAGACAGACGAAAATAGAAAATATAAATGCATAATAAAGGAGATCAAGATTTTTTTTTTTTTTTGGAAGGGAAAACGTTTGAGAAATTGAAGTTTTCATATCGATCTGCAACGATAAAATCATAAAAGAATAAACTAAATTAAATTTATTTTTAAAAGAGACGAAACAATTTTTATGTCTTGGCAATTAGTTAATGCACCAATAACACTATGTAATAATGCTACTATATGTACAAATATGTGAGAAGGCAATAAGTAAGTCTTTATATTTTTGTAGAGAAGTTGTCTTAACAAATATTTAAAGAAAAGAACAAAGAGCGTGTTTATAAGAAAGAATGGTTGGTGTCAAGGAAGAGAGATACCATCTGTCCTCTCCTTTTCTAATTAAGAACCCGAAGTCGGTTGACAGTAAAGAAGCAAACCAAGCAAATAACTGAGATGGGTCTACTTCTGTTATATAGGCTAACCTTATCTTGCAAACATTCGAAGAAAGTTTGCATTGAACGTATATCTCTTTCATCAATTATTATGATTAAATATTTCATTGATATAACTTATATTTAACACGAATTTAAGTTGATATTATTGTTTAATTTGAAAAAAAAAAACTGTATGAAAATACCATACGTTATTATTGGTTTCATATAAAGAACAAATCTATAGATAATATATAATAATTAATAAATCAAAAAATTAATTTATTTTTAACATTTCATTTCATAAACTAGTAATAAAGTTACGAGCATTTATATGTTAGTAGTTTACATTAATTTGATTGGTTGTTGCTGCGACCTTGAAAGCTGAGTTAGCCTATTGTATTAAAGAAAATTAAACTATTGAACTCTTTTCTCCATTCCCGTGCTACAGATCATTTATCTTTGATAGGACCAATTGTGGTTCTATCAATGATGGATTTTCTCCCTTATCCTCCTCCTCCATTATTGCACTGCTTAACAATTCACCCCATAGGACTATTTAATACAAAACTATAATGTCTTTCCAATAGGAAATTTACATTTAAAATCATATTAAAATAATAAATAATCATTTAAAACAATTAAAACTTTTTAAAGAAAAAAAAGACACATAAAGTCCAAATAAATTATTATTATATTTTACAATTAAGGAGGAAAAAAAAACAAGNTCCAAATTTTATTTGTATCTTGTTTTGTTTTTTCCAGTTTTTCTTTTACAAGCACTAGAATCAAAGTGTGATTCCCTTATTTGACACTTTTATTAAATTTTTAACACGTGAGCTTAAGTCTTGCTTGGGCCTCACACCTGTATGTCTCCATGCCCAACTATGCTACAAGTATGCCAACCTTTAGTACATACAGTACTACAGATTGTTTTAAATTATATCATTGTTCCACAGGCAATTGTCCCATTGTTATGATATTTAATCACCTATTATCATCATCATTACATTTATACTAATGAAGTTTCATTGATTGCAATGCCTCTGGTACAAAACAATTTTTAGCAATGAGTGATATTTTGATATTTTGTTTCATTGAAATAAAAATGCTTAGTTCAAATGAATTTTTCAGTTTGTTACTTATAATTACTAATCATTAAATGTTAACAGTTTAAATATTTACTTACTCATAAAATCGAAAATTCAAATTTTTATCAAGGAGTTAACGTTTTTATTAAATAATAATTATTTTAAATTATTTATTAATTTATTTAAATATTTAATTTAATGATTAATTCATTCATAATTGCTCATTGAGTATGATGCAAATGATAATTAAATAAACAAAAGCATATTTTTTAAAATAAAAATTCACATTTTCAAGTGTATTTTTGATCTTTAAAATTAGCCATTTTTCGATAATTTCATTCTAATTTCTTTAAAATTATTTTAAAATATGAGTACGAAAAGTAAGAAATTATTTATTTATTTTTACTAAGATCAAGAAGCAGAATTTATAACTTTAAAATTATAAATAAATTATTAAAAGATAAAATACAATTGTGAAAATATTGGACAAAATTAAAGACATTGCTTTGTGTTAAAAATTAAATTTTTGTTTTTATTACGCTTACCGATAAAAAAAAAATCGATTTTTTTCCCCTTTAAAAAATTCTTCTTTAAAATGCAAAAATACAATAAAAAAGATCTAAAATTTTACTTTTAAATTCCCTCTTGTACATTATGTGTTAAGTGAGCGATTCATTCACCCATTATATATTAAAGAATCTTTCAAAGAAGAATGGCTTATTTTCTGTATATTATATTCGATTTTTTTCCTTCTTTTTAGTTTTTCATTATCCTTTTTTACTTCATTTTAAATTAGTAAAATATATATATCGAATGTATCCTTTAAAAATTATAAGAAATATACGAAAAATCATATTTCAAAACAATGCTAAGCACGTATATTTCTTCTCTCTTCCCTTTTTTTGTTATTTTTTTTAAAGTAATTTAAAAATAATTCAGTCAGAAATGCATTCTTCAAACCACCGATTGATTCTACATTTCTCCTCTAAAATTTCAGCAAGTGGAAAAAGCTGA